CCACGGCTAAGGTGGCGGCGTACTTATGTAAATATGTGATACTTGAAGTACTAATGTATATTGATATATAAGTATCAGTATCATAGAAATAAAATTGATCATTCATGAAATAATTGTGCTGATTACCATACAAAATGCACTACGGGTCAATCAATCTGCTCGAACACACGGGGTTAAGTTGTAAACAGCACACACGGGTCTAGGGTTGGTAATACAATGTCAAGTAGTTGATTTTTAAACGATTTGAACAGTAAGACGAAAATTTTGAAAATAAAGAAACAACCTTTGCAAAACAAATGTGATTTATTTGATAAACAACAAAAATATGTCGTGTGATTTGTTTTTTGTCACAAGTGCAATCATAATTAATGTTTGTTGAGGCGAAGAACGTGTAATGAAACCAAAATTTGAATTACAAAATTTCTGATATTAATTTGTGACGGAAATAGTTGGTAAACAATTTTTCCGTGTGTTGTACGTGTACATTCAAAACATTGCAGAAATGTTTTCTATTTACTATAATATATTTTAGATGTTATTTGAATTGCTATGATTTGTTATCTGTTGGATTTTTAATGCAACCGCTGAATATTGTTGTATTAGTTTCTCTATCCCATACGTAATACATGAACGGATGTTCGGCCCTGAAGATACCTGTCCCGCTTAATGTTCTAGAGCTTATACCTTGAACATAAATTTAGTGGAAAATGAATTGGACTATCAAACAATGGTATTAACTACTTATGCAGCGAAATTCATATATTTACAAAAAGATTGGAATAAAGAATTTTGATGGTAACATGTTCGTTACTCAAAACCGCGAAAATAATATGACGAACCACACAGTTGGCTGTCATAGATGGTCATTACATGAATTTCGCTGTAAATAAGAAAGGTTACGTTTTTAACATCTCACCTGATGCAGCAGTAGCTTCAGTGAGTCTTTCATTGATTTCAATTGTAGCTTTATGAATAACGTGGCTCACAAACAATGGCTCGTCAGTGCTTAAAAGACCACTCAAATTCGCGGTTTTTTTAAACATTTCATTCATGCCCATCTAAGTAAAGAATAACTTATTTTGAAATTGAAATTAACAAAATTTCTTTTTTTGTTGAACACATACTTTTATCAAAATATCATTGAGAAGGAATTCAGTCGTGATCTTAAATTTTGGAATTTCAACTCTATGTTCCACAAATTTCATTTGTTCAACAATTTTGGATAAATTAATATGTTGTAACTGAGCTTCCAGCGTAGACAATCCCGTACGTTTATTCGGTAGAATTATTATGAATGAAAAATTTGAGTTCACATAGTCAAGTCTAAGTGCAGCGATATCCAATTCATCTAAATCAACAATCCAAAGTTTCTTTGTCATCTTCATGAAGTTGGCCTCAACCGTTTCTGTTTCACTGATATAAAACTTTTCCGTTATATTGTAAAAGCTACCACCACCCTTCCGACTTTTTCCATATCGTGGAAATGGTTGGAGCCAGATGCTCTTTAAGTAGATCGCATTTATCAAAAAAACACGAGTAAAAGTATTGAACATATCAGGATTGACAATCTGTTTGATGTTTCCCTTTGTTTTTTCCGCCACGAAATTATTGATCAGTTGTGATGTTTCATCATTTTCGACAAAATCCACCGATTCAACACCGGCATCAAATTTATCTACAGCAATTTTTTGAAAATCCTGATTCAATTGGAATTCTTGTTGTACATAGATCTGATTTGCAATCATCAATTCCGATTGTCCGGCACTTCTTTTAATTAATTCATTGTATTTTTTTAATTGATCGGCTACAACAGACTTTTCACCATTCAAGTATAAATGTTTTTTCAATTGTTCATATGTTGTTCCATTGGCTGCTTCAGATAGAAGAGTTAGCGATGTTCCCACTGAATACGGTGAAATTATCAAATTTCCAGGCTCGGATTGGGAGCATTGCTATATCAAAGACATTTTGGCTTAGAATTAGTCAAATTGAATGTTTATAAAAATGAAAGTTCACCTGATACAAGTCAACACCAAACTTGTAAAATCCTCTACTCAATTCTTCTATTTGAACTTTTGCCGCTGTGCAGCTCAAAGTTATAAGTACTGCAATATTGAATGGATACATTGTAATTCAAGAAAGAATAGAAATTGTAACTTTTTAATGTTTCGCTTCGAAAATACACAAACTTATGATTCAATCAGTGATTCTTATACTTTAAGTTTTACATACAAAGATCAATTTCCCTATTGATGGTAGTATACATATAAAGAATTTTTGTAAATTTATTTGTTATTTACTGTATGCATAAATTAAAGTTAAAGTTAAATTCGTCTAATTTATGACAGGAAGTTTCATTTTATTTTTATTGAATTAAATATCAGAAACTTTGCATGAGAGGTATACCTAATTTTCAATGAAAATCATTCAAATTGTCGCAATAATATTTCTATCAAATTTGAATTTAGTACTTATTGAATTAGTACTGCACTGGTAGTGATTTGACTGGTGATAG